CATTTCACTGGCCTCCTCCTATTGCCAGCTTTTACTAATTATCCCCAACAGGAGTTGCAATTGACAAAAGGTGTGTAGAAAGAATTTTGCACTTATAGAAATTCTACTTACTGTCAACTTAGTTGAGAATCAATTACTATTCACAGACCATTTGCAACTGAATAAGTGACTATATTTCAAACACACTTTCTCATCAAGAGCATTTGGAGAAATTTGGTTACTTTTTTTGTACTTTCCACTTCACTATTCTACTTTCTACAAACATTCCATTAATGGAAATGGCTTTAAAACAACAGAATATCTTTGTTAAAAACATTCTTTCAAATTCTCAATTATATGCCAAGCTTTAGGTTGGCAAGGTCAGACTCTTTCCTTGACTCCCATATCCCTTTCTCTTCTCAAAATCTCAGCTTTCAAGTCCTTCAGATGAGTGAGCCCCACATGTCAGATTCTACTTTTGAGAACATGTGCTTTTCTGGGACTCAGTAAGGGAATTCATTAAAAAAAAAAAAATCCAACAGCTATTTCCTTTTTATGTCTCTCATTTTAAAGTTTGATGCAATAATTAACTTCTCTCTTTGCTCCAAGGAAACTCAGACCCACTTTAATTCTTTGTGAAAACAGTGTTTAATATTTACAATTCCATATGCTATGCAGTCTTAAATAGGAGGATATGAAAATCCTACTTGACTTTCAGAACAGATCTTTGTGTTTCTAATTGAGTTTCAGAAGAAAATTACTGGAGATAATTGAGAGAATCGAGAGAAGCAGTAAAGGTGATGTTCAATCCAAGCTTCCAGAAAAGATATCAGTGGACAATACACATTTCCTGTTTCATCTCCTTTGATGCCTGGGCAAATCTCCAAAGATTTCTCCTATTGAGTAACCACGGAGATATAGTTTTTGTAGGTATTTTCAGAGGCAAGAGCTAGTCTATTTAATGGTAAACATGCAGACTATGCCTTGCAGAGTAAGGAGGCACAAGCCGCCCATGTGTGCTAAACAGGCAGCACCCTCAACATCTGAACCCCCACTTTAGGGAAGTGAAAACTCCAGGGTCTTTTAATGGAAGGCGCAGTTTCAATACAATAGCATAAAGGAAGTAAAGTCACAAGATTTAATATTTACAGATCCCAAAATAGGTGGGGGGAGGGTTGGAGGGACACTACAAGTCAAGAGAAGAGCAGTCTTCTCTTTAGGTCACACGTGGCGGGGGAAGCGCAGGGCAGGGTAAGAAGCCCCTGGTATGTATAAGGTGGCTGCAGCAGGTCGGCTCCAAGTGGTTATTTAAAAAGCCCAGGGAAAACAAAGTGGGTACTTGTGATGGAAGCCCCAGGATCAGACCCTTATTTAAATGTCCAGACTCTGGATGTCAGCAGGTTTGTAGTGTCAAATGTCTGTGAAGCAGCTGAATGAAAATAGCTACTTTCTCATCATAGTAGGTAACGCAAATGTCTCATGCCTTAAGAAGAAATTGAAATCGAAAGAAGCAGCATAAAGCTAGAGAGGGGGGACCCAGGGTCCCATGTGTACTCAATTCTTGTACAACTGAAGCGTTTTGTGCCTCTGTTTATCCAACTGTCAAGTGTCAGCGGTGCCACCTGCCCAGGCTGGCGGTCCACAAGGGACTGTGAGACTCATTGACACATTAGGCAGAGAAATGTTGGGGAAAGTAAAAGTGGTGTGCAAATGTCTGGTGGTTTGATGTTGGTTGTTCAACTTTTTCTCAAGTAAGTGGACCCCTCAAAGCCACTTGAGGTTTGTGGTCCTAACCAACTTACTCACGTTGACTTCATGGTCACTTACATGTGGATTCTTTGGTTTTACCTTCCTTCTGGGCCACATTACGAGCAGTTCTTCTGGTTTCCCCATAGGTGATAAAAGCAAAACAAAGCTATTTGGGGCAGTATTTTCTCTAAAAGCATCCTACCAGTATAAAGATACTGAGAAATCAATACATGGAATCTTCAATATCAACTAAGATTCTCACCAATTTAGACAAATGCAACAATGATCATATGAGCAGGGCTGCCATGCATGCCTGCCCAGTGTATGCAGAAAGCTGTCCAGGTAGGAAGTGATGACTTCTGGTGTACAAATGACAAAGTCATTTACTCCAGGCTCTCCGCCTGCACAGAGCAGGCATCTTTTTCCATCTAGGCTCGAGGTTTTGACTGTAGGGTGATTACATAGATTCCAAGAGCGGATGAGGAAGAATAGAGTTACAGCTTTTCTTTCTAGTTTAATTCCATTTGACAACTTGTGTGGTTACAGACTGTTCCACCAGCCCTTCTTGCCTCTTCATCTTCTTGCACATTTTCCCTCCCCCTGACTTTTATGTCCTCCCCATTATTCTTTCCACTCCCCACTACCATGCTTCCCCTCTCATTCTTTTCCCTCATTCCCAGGAGACAGACTGATGCCTAGGAGAATATGTGTCATTGACCTTCTCCTTGATCCCTACTCATCTCTGACATCCCTGTAGCCATGTAAGAGCTTCTACCCTTGATGGTTCAGCATATTTTCTTCCACATGCCCTCATATCCTTCTGAGCAATGCTAGTCACTCTGTAGTTTTCATACCAAAACACTGATGTTCGTCAAATATATACCTCCAGGCTAGAGACTTTTCTTAAGCTACATTTCACTGAACACACTGCCTATGGGACCTGCTTACTACTACTTAGACATCAGGGTCCTGAAATGAACTTGTTATCTCCCCCCTCCATATTGACAAATTTTTCATTTTCTAATTATTGACACAATCATCTGTCAGTCACAAAAAAAAAAAAAAAAATCAGAGTCACACTCACAATCACCTCATTTCCTCCTATATAGGGTCCTCTCATCTTAACCCTCCTCTCCTGCCAGTTGACTATCACCATTCCTACCAGGACAATTGCAAAGACCCAAGTTATATGGTCCTGAATCACTAGATCTCTCACCTTCCCAAATCACCATTTTATTGCTATGAGAATGATTTTTCCAAAGTTCAAAGCTGAGTGAACATATTATTTATTTAATAGAACTTCTTAAACCTCTGTCCATAAACACGAGTGAGGCGCCCCAGGAGATTTGGAAGATGTTCAGAAGAGCAGAATCCAGAAGGCACCATCCGTAGCTTATTTCTAGTTAACAAGTTTAAATCCAATGTTGTAATTTTACTTTCTAGTCTATATCAGTTTTTGTTTTGAAATTAAAATCACAAATTCTCCAAGCTCTCAAGCAAAATTGACCATGCAGAAGGTACATGTTTATCCTATGGCTTCAGGCATCTTCCTTAAAGAACTAGGGTCTTCACTTGAATGAACATTTCTTTGCATTTATATAAGGATTTTCTTGGCAGGTCTCTATTGGTCTCTGCAGTTCTCGCTCTCCAACCAACTCCCTGCAGTCTATTCATTCTCCTTCTTGCAATTTGTGAACTTCATACTGGTATCCACTTCAGGATATTTACTTACTCTGTTTCTTCAAATTAAAATATATTCTTTCCCATCTATCTGCTTATCTTCTATACTCAAGTGTTGCCTACCCTGGAAATGTCTCTATGGGAACCTAAAGAGCTGAGTTAAACATCCCTTTCTATATGCCACCAAGTCCATACCTCCTGTAATTCTTGATGTCTCTTTTCACCATTAAATTGTGGATTGATTTAGGGCAAAATCTGTATTATATTCATCTTGGCCATGCTAGGAAAAGCATGATGCCTAATCCAGAAGGACGTGTGCAGTCCAACCAACAAAGTGTGATTAACTTTCCATTCTGAATCCTCCCCATATCTCTCAAGACCTGACACATAGTAGGTTCCCAGTAAATATCTATTAAATATTGGAATGAAGCTATAATCAGTTCTATTTTCTCTATTTAAGTTGCATTGCACTTTCTCAATTTTATCTTCCAAAGTATTCTGATATCTGTGAATCTCCACAATTAACAGCATGTCAAAATTTATAGATATTAAGTTAATTAATGACTATCTAAAGCAATGTCTTCATGTATATTTCAATGTTTGTTAAAAAGTACAAGTACTTAATTCAGTCTTTCACCCTGACACCTGGTGTGTTTACTAACCTGTTAAGAATTGGCGTGTCACTCAAAAATAAAACTTGACAAATTGGTGATGACTGGAAATTTTTTGAAAACTTTATTTGTGACCAGTGTGATTTTTAATTTCAGGATACTTTAGCAGTGGAACTTGTGGGTGGCTTTGATCTCTACCATGGCTAATATAATTTAATGGGTAAAAACCATGATCAAAGTAAGGACTATCTCTGCTTTTAAGTATAAATGCTCAATAAATGTGATATAAAGCATGCCAATGCTCAGAAGCATTTGAATAGAATTAAGTGAAAGTGCTTGGTACTCCACCTAGCCCACAAGTACTCTGTGCATACTCATCATTTATTCCTTCTCAGCCAAACCTCAACATGAGAGAAAGAGCTGACACCTCTGGAATTTAGGAGTAATGTCTCATTTCTATTAAGAACAATGATAACACTTTCTTAACCACTATTCATTTATTACCTGATTGCCAAGAACTCATAAAATCCATCCCTTCTTCCCCCATTTGTTTTATTTTGTTTTGGGGAGACAGAAGCCAAGTGAATATAAACTTCAAGCTGGGAAAGCTTTTGTCTCTACCAAGCCCTAGGGAGGTGTTCTCCAGGATCTTTCTAGTTGAACACAGGTCTCCAGTGTCAGACCACTAATAACATGGGCCCCCAGCTTGCCAATTGCTTCACTCTTTCAATTCACCCTATCAAAAGCAACTGACTTTACCATTTCCTGGAAAAAAATAGAATTCAATGATGGGATGATGATTGAAAAGACTTTATTTCTAGCAGAACCAGCTTTTTATGGCATGTCAAATGCTATATTTCATTCCATGTCAAAAGAAGCCTAACTGTTGACTATATTGTAGGATAAAGATAAAGGGAGTAAATTTGCAGTATATTCTTGAAAATTGTTAAAATTAGTATGAAAAAGAAAGGGAGGGTTTTTTCTCACAAGGCCATAACCACTGAACAAATTGATCTTCCATTCCGGGAAATCAGCAGTCATCAGCAGGGTACTTCACAAGCAGTTAAGATTTGTGGTAATAACAAGTGCTGCAGTGACACTCCGTGTGGTTCTCCACCTTGGCATTTCCCATTACTGTGGCCTAAAGGAGGAGGGAAAATTTTTAGACAGATTGATAGATGAGCAAAACTGAAAACTGTTCAACAAAATTGCCCATAGCCAGCTAAACAAAATAGATGCTTGCTATCTTTGCATATTCTCCTTTTTGACTGTTCTTTTTATCCTGAGAGATTAGGTTGTATTGTAGAAGTACCCTATACTCTTTCCCAATCCACCCCCACAGACCTTCCCCCCAGTTTCATGTGGAATAAATCCATCTACCCCGAGGGTGCAGACTCTATTGATGAAAGGTGACATGCAGACCCTTCCAGGAGGCGGCTCCCCAACAAAGGGCCCATTAGACATCCATTAAACCTCCATGAATCTCTCTGTCTAGATTGTTAGGAAGTTTCACGGGCTCTTTAAGTTATCACCTTGGTAAATGCTTTAGCCACACAGCATGTAGCTTCTGAGGTGATGTTCTTTGGGACCAACATTGTCTTCTTAGACCTTGCTGGAGTAGGATATGCTCTGGAGAAGCAGCAGCCCATGCACTGGTAAATTGGAGCACCCGGTTTGGAGAAGTATTTGTTTTCCTTTAGCTTGCATTCTGGGCAATCTGTCACATACAAACACAAACACACACACACACACACAAAGCAAAGAGTACAATAATTCAAAATTGATCCAAAGGAAACGACCAATTTTTCCTCATTATGAAATGAAAAGTGTTCATTTTGCCATTGGAAATTAAAAGAAAGTAAAGAAATACTTCTGGTTATATGTTAATGTCCATATGTAATATCTTTATATTAATTATAGTTACTTTCAAAGGAAAACAATTTTTGCAGCTATGCATGGAAAGCTCAATATTAGCCCTTTCTCTCTGAGCAAAAATAGATTCTCTATTGCAGTGCTCTTGGCGGGCCTATAGGGAACACAGAGCTTGACAGATGAAAACACCAGGCTCATCTGAAAGGAAATTTTGCCCAAAGGCAAAATATTTTCTTTTTAGAATCTGCTATTTTTCCCAGAGAAACTGCAAATATTGACAGAGAAAAAAATATGTCAGCATTAAAAAAGGTTGGTGAGTAGAGAGATCCTGATATTAGATCAGACATCTGCACTTGGGAACTGGAATTAAAATATTATCCCTTGTCTAGAGAAAAACCATAACCAATAGGAGCTCACAGTTTCATAATGGATGGAATTACATCAGCTACTATATGAATTTTTTTCAAATAATGCACCAAAACAAATTTGCTGCATGAAATGGCTTTGTTTTTCTCCCTTGTTTATGGATGTGGAAATTCATCTACAAAGGCAATATTAAAATCCTCTCAACTCTTCTGGGAGAAATTTTGAAAAGCTCAACTAACTGAAAAGAAGTTTTGCCATAAAATTCAAATAAAGAATAGTAAGGACTCTGTTTCAGATGAAAATATACTGGCTATTTAAATAGACATGAAAATATCATTTCACTGTATACTTTCTGAATTTAATTTTATGTTCATAATCTACAAGTGCCTAGATATGTCCAGTACCAAAGATCCATCACATTTGAAAAGAGGAAATGTAGAAATTAATTAGAAACATAATTAATGGTGTTATCGATGTTTATGTAGGAAGGCACTTTTCTTCATCCTGCAAATCCATTTGGTAACACACCCTGCATTATAAACTCTCCATCAGGAAAGGAATGGAGAAGATGCAGAAACACAGACAATGTGGCCAGAATAACAGCTGCATATTTTCTGTAGTAATCCATGGCACTCCTGTAAAACATACATGAGAGAAAAATGTTACTCTACAGTTGGTCAGTTGGTTTACCAGACATAATAGCAATCAGTACTTTTTAAATTACTGCTAATAATAACCATGAGTACTTTGATCCCTCTGCTCACAGCTCCCAACATACTCTAAAGTCATGTGGCATTTAAATTCTTTTTAGGAAAGAAGTAGAGAAATGAATCTTCCCTTCTCTCACATAAACCAGTAGGATAGGGCTTAGTGATACAACAATAAATTATCTTTTTTAAATACATTACCCCATTAAGAAGTCTCAGTGTCCTTGTAAGACAGAACTATCTCATTGTCTATATAGCCCCTACCATATATTTATTTGAGCCATTGTTTCTATCAAAAACCTTTCCGGAACCTATGCATTCTTGAGCTATTTTTACAGCCTATTGGGTACTCTTATGGCTAGAGGAAGAAGGATGCTGGCCCAAACTAGTCAAAGCCAGATAATGATGCGTGTGCAGAATGACCAAAAGTGACCCAAGTGAAAGGAACTCATTCAATACTAAAATCCCCATGTCTCAGTGGGATTTTTCTGAATGCACAATGTATAATGAGGTATATAGATAGAAACACCAAAGAAACAATATCCTGAACATACAAAAACACCCAGTTGTTTGCTTCTTGCCCAAAAGCCTTGAATGCTCTGAAACTAAAGCTAAGATTTTGATCAAGATCCTCTCCCCTTTCCAAAGGAGACTCTGTGGAGTTCTTTCTCTTGCTCTGTCATTTACAGTAAATCCTAGTACTCTTTTGCCTTCACTCATTGTCCTCTTTGCAATATTCAGTGAGGGTCTCAAGGACCCACCAGAGAAGCCAATAACACTTACTTATGCAATATGAAACTTCAACTGGATAATACCTAGGAATATATGTATAAGACTCACTATCAGTGTCCAACACTATATGTTGACCTAGTAATATGGCAACAAAGGATGTTAATCAAAGTGTTTCCAATAAATATTTATTACAGTTTTAGATAGCTATAGCTTTACCTAAGCATATTTTGACTGTGTAAGGTCAGGCTACCCAAGGAGAGGTGAGTGAAATTACCAAACCCAGGCACTGACCTCAGTGAATCTGAGGAAGGGAAAATAGAAAACATTGTATTTAGAAAACTCTTACAACCCACAATACTCTCAGGTAAGATCAAAAGGATAAGTTTTGGGGGCCCTTCCTGGTGACGCAACGGGTTAGGATGCAGCACAGCAGACTCGCCACAGCTGCTTCAGTGCAAGTTCCATCCCCGGCTGGAGGTGACCCACGTTGCTCAGCAGACCTCTCCTGTCTCATTGGCTGTTCCCCTCAGCAGTGTACTTCATCCATCTGCCTGTTCTGTTCCCCATTCGGTCTCTGGTAATCTGCTCACCGCCCCGTACCTCTGGCTTGTACCCCAGTTCTGTATGTATAAATAAATTAATCTTAAAAAAAGGGGGGGGGTAATTTTTTTTTTAAGATTTATTTATGTATACAAGAACTGGTTACAAGCCAGAGGTGCAGATGGTGAGAGGATTCATCAGAAACAGCATGGGGAACAGAACAGTTGGATCTACTGAAATATACTGCTGAAGGGAGCAGTGGATGTGTCAAGAGAGGTCTGCCATATGGGTCACCTCCCTGGCTGGGGATTGAACTTGTGCTGTAGTGGCTGTGGTAGCTTCATAGTGCTATGCTTTAACCCACTGCACCACCAGAGAGGACCCAAAAAGGATAAGTTTTTAATGCCCATTTTCAAATGAAAATGATTTGGGGTTACTTATGTTCAAATCATGACAGATAAGAAGGACAAAGCCTCTATAATCAATAGACAATTCAGGATATTCGAAAAAAATTGAGAGCAATTTGCAGATCTTTTTTCGAAAATAAGAGAGAAGCGAATAATTTCCAATTTATTTTATGAAGCCAGGGTTATCCTGACACCAAAACCAGACAAAGACTATACAAAAAAAAAAAACCTGAAGACAAGCCTATTTCTTGAAATTTGAGGCAAAATCCTCAACAAAATAATAACAAATGGAACTAGGCAATATATAAGAAGAATTCTACAAGAATTCTACAATTTTACCACGTGCAAAGCTGATTGAATACTTAAAAATCATAATATGATGTAATTCAGCTTATCAATAAGCTAAGGAATAAAATGATATGACTCTATAGGTAGAGAGAAAACATTTGACAATATTCAATAGTCTTTCATGATGTGACAAACTATCAGCAAATAAGAAGCAAAACAAAATCTCTCAACTTGATAAAGAGAATTTAACAACAATAAAAAACCCCTCTATGACTAATATCATACTTAATGGTGAAAAATCAAATGCTTTACCCCAAAATCAGAAACTACAGGATGTCCACTCTTACCTCTTATTCCATATAGTATTGAAGTTTTAGCCAGCGCAAATGGCAATAAAAAGAAATTAAAGGTATGCAGATTGAAAAGGAATAAATAAAACTATCCCTATTCATAGATGACATTACCATATACATTTTTTAAAAACCAAAGAACTGACATAAAAGGCCCTGGAATTAATTAATATGTTCAGCAAGGCTGACATGATGTAAAATTTACATGCAGCAAAATGAGTTGCATTTCTATATTTAAAACAATAATGTGGACACAGATTTAAAGCACATTTACAATTACAGTGACTCCACAGAAAATAAATGTGTATAAATCTGATTATGTAAAAAGAAATTTTGTAAAAATCAAATATGTGTCTTAGATGCTGGAAATTACAAAGTACAAATGAAATAAACCCAAGTGGAAGACTTACATAAATGGAGAGACATGTTTATAGATTGGAAAACTCACACTGTAAACATGTCAATTCTCTCCAGATTTCTGCATATAATGAAATGCCTATCAAAAATCCCAACAAAGCTTTTGTGGCTATTCACAGGAATATTATTATTACTGAAAGGCAAAGAATCTAAAAGAGCTGGCATAACTGTATAAATAAAATGGAAGGGACCAGGTTTTCCAGTATGATGGCTTGTTATATAGCTACAATAATCAAAACTGTGTGATATTGGCAGAGGAGTAAATATATATGCCAATGGAACAGAAGAGAGAACTTAGAAATAGATTGACACGATTATGCCAGGATGACTTTTGACGAAGATGCCCAGCAATTTAACAAAGATTTTCAACCACTTCAACAACAGTTGCTGGAATAATTGAATGTTCATAGACAAAAAAAAAAAAAAAATGTAAACTTCATACTTCATGTGAATGTTTACTCAAATGGACATATATGTAAATTGTGAAACTATGAAATTTTTAGGAAACAAAAATGAAACCCAGGGATAGATGAAGTGTTTTTAGAGTTATCAATGAAAGACAAAATTAATAAATTGAGCATCATCTAAATTAAGAGAGCTAGTGCTCTCTTAAGAAGATGGAAATACAAGATACAGAATTGGAGAATACATTCACAAGTCATACAGGCAACAATGGAGCAGTATCTAGAATATATATATATATATATATTTATTTAAAGATTTATTTATTCATACAGAACTGGGGTACAGGCCAGAGGCTCAGGGGCGGTGAGAGGCTTCACCAGAGACAGAGTGGGGAGCAGAACAGGCAGATCGATGAAGTACACTGCTGAGGAGAGCAGTGGTCGGGTCAGGAGAAGTCTGCCATGCCATGTGGTCACCTCCAGGGCAGGTGGGGATTGAACTCATGCGGAAGTGGCTTTAGCTTCTCAGTTCTGTGCTTTAACCCGCTGCGCCACCAGGGAGGGCCTCTATAATATATTTTTAAAAGCTCTCAAAACAACAGAAAAGTCCAATTAGAAAATGAGTGCTACACTGAGAATACACAGAGAGCAAATAAACATGAAAAGTGTTTAATAGCATTTGTTAAAGACATACCAATTAAAACCACAATGAGATATTATACATCTTTCAAAATAATCTAAATAAAAAATATTGATATGCCATTAAATGTTGGCACAAATGAAGAGAAATGGGGTAATTCAGGCACTGATAGTCAAAGTATAAAACGGTGCAGCCACTCTAGTTTGGGAATCTCTTCTAAAACTAAACACCAGTTGTTCTCTTGGTCATTTATCTCAGAGAAATGGAAATTATGTTCATATAAAATTTATATACAAAATGTTGATAACCATTTTATGTACAATAGTCCAAAACTGGAAACAATCCAACTGCTCTCCAACAGCTGAATGGTTATATAGTAACATCCACACCAAAAAATATTATATTGCAGCAGAAAGAATGCATTATAGATACTCATGCTTGGAAGGGTATGTGCTGAGTGAAGATCACACAGTGTGTGATTCCACTTCTATAGAACTCTTGAAATAACAAGTTCTAGATATAGAAAGTAGATTAACAGTTTCAAGAGGTCAGTGTTTAGAAAGGAATTGAGGAGAGGTAAGTGTGGCTAAAGAAGAGGGATACTTGTGTCTGAATAGCTCTGTATCTTTATTATTATTTGTTAATTATGTATTTATCAGTAGAAATTATTACTTAACCAAGTGTTCATGTTTCATGATTAAGGATGCAGGTCAATGACAAATTTCCATAGAAGTCAATTCAAAAAGTTGTTTATGTTCCAAAATCACTCTGTACACTGAAAGATACCAGTCTTCCTCATCTCCTCAAAATCTTTCAGTCACAATTTCTATATTAATATGCATATGGCTTCATTCTTAGTTCTGCCACAGCAAATACACAGAAAAGTGCAATCCCCAGGAATACAATGAATGTCTTAACAATATGAAAGTTCAGACACTTGATCATAAAGCCATGCATTTGATGTTCATCAAAGTATTGGAAACCATGATCACCACCAACACCAACGTCCTTTTAGGCAATTCTATATCTTGATTGTGATTGTCATCACACTAATCTACACATGAGATAAAATTACATACAAGAGCATGTTCACACACACATAATAATAAAAGTCAATAATCTCTGCATGTTATACCAATATCA